CTCTCTGGCTTCAGCCTCAAGGCAGTGATTTGTGCACTGATAGGTGTACTTTGTTTAGTGTCACCCATGGTGTAGATTGGATAGATTTTGTAAAAGATAGCATTACTTTAAAAGAAACATACAATTTGACAAGCGATTTCATTTTACTTTCATTTTATTGCCATATTTTTCATCACACTCATTGTTTTCTAACTGTCACTAAATTGTTCATTTTCTTAGTCTGTTACATCAGTAGAGCTATTTACTGTTTATAAAGCAATATGCACTTACAGGTTTGGGAGATGGTTTGGGCTCTGAGGGTCGCATGTGCAAGTGGGTCATCATTGCTTGAAGACGTTCGCGTTCTTTAGAAAGCTGTTAAGAAACAGTGAGATCAGAAGCATTTTAGAAATGACTGATACAGCTATTTTATTGCAGTGATACATCTTATCATTGAGCTTGTCTCAGAGTAATGATTCCTGCATATAAAAGTCTGTGACAGTAGGAACTTATCTGGGAGGAAATGCAACTTTAGCTATGGAGGGGGGAAAAACTTTTATAGCTTTCCTTATGTTAAAAGGTCATAGAAAACAAATAACACTTCATCTTTTTGTCAATAAGAGAATTGAGGTCACAGTTGCCTCGACAGTAACAAGTTACTGAAACCATAAATTAGAAGGCCCATGGTGTCTCTTTAAAGTCCTGTGGACACTGTTAGCAGTGGACTAGTGCCAACAGCTGTGAAGGGGTGAAGGGTTCTCAAAGCGAAGTGCCTGCCAGGATTGTCTACACACTTCATGCATTCCCACTGAGGTCCAGTTAGTGCCCCCTGCAATCTGCCATCATCAATCTAATTCAATAGAGTGACAGAGACCAGGCAGTGTGAAACGCTGAACTCTGCCACGGAGTCGGCATCTACACTTGCACTGGGTCTCATTACAACTGACGGACCTTACTTTTCCATCAGTCAGACACAGCAGAAAAAAAAAAAAAGAGGCATAATTGGTCACACTGCAGACTATATCATCAGCTGAACTCTTATGTTTCAATCTACTGTTTATAAATGGTAAACAGGTTTACAAAAAGCTTTTTAGACTATAGCAATGATGATGCCTTTTATATGTTCTTGATTATCTCGCAAGTCAAAATTGAGTATATTTAATAACTCTCTGAAAAACAGCAATGACATGATGAACTTAAAATGATTTGAGGCAGTAAAATATGAAGAAAAACAAATTATGTCTTCAGTTAAATGAAACAAAATATTAATTTGACTGAGCAAAGATAATCTTTAAGATGAAATATTAGAGAAAACCTTAAAGAGTTAGTTAAAACATAACAACAGTCTTAGACTTTGGATTATATAATTGCTTTCAGATCAATTCTATGAATTCTATTTATTTTTGGCTAAATTCTGTTTCAACATTAACAATTTTTTTAAAAACTTAAAACAGAATCATTTCATACAACACATTACCATCTGTGATAGAAATTATTTGTTTTTACTCTAGTTAAAGACAAGTATTAAGAATTTTTATAAGTTTTTAAATTAAATATACACTAGAGGTGGGAAAGAAAAAGTTATTTTTCAGGCTGTCACAATACAGGCAAAATATTGTAAAGACTGGCCTTTTGTTATAATATAAAGTCGCATGGGAAAATATCAAGATTGGCTCATGTAAAAACTGTCTCTGATATAAAATCGTATGTAGTTGGGAGTCTCGTCTAACCTATATTGGGAAAAACTTAGATTTGACAATTGGAGATACTCAAATGTATGTAGTGTGGTATCAAATTTACTTAAGTCTAAGTGATAAGTACATTAAACTATAGCAGTCCATCCCGAGTTATCAGTCATTGTCATGGTGAAAAACAATCTAGTATTCCATGTATCTCTATTAGTCATTGTGTAACTAATACAATTAGATGTAGCTTAAAAGACTCAGTACTCAGTACTCAGCGCTCAATTTAACACACCAGAAATTTGAGAAGAGTCCAGTAAGTGGGCATCTGACAAACCTGTATTTCTAGTTGTTGTACCACCTGCATTTGCACTCTACACTGTGCAGTGCTTCGGTCATCCAATGCATGTTCATTGTTAAGGTGCCTAAACAAACACAAAACAAAAAGTTAAGAGATGTATATCTCAGCGGTATATGCTACACTTGAAAAGCACTACACTGAAGTCATATGTTTCTCTGCAGTGGGAAAATGGAACATTTTGAACTACACAGAAAAAAGTTAAATATACTCATGTGTTTACTGAAAATCACTTATGTTAATATAAAGAGACTCTACCAATGGCAGAAAATGCCAATGACTCTGAGCATATCTATCATTACAAAAAAAACAATAAAACCTCCCCAAACCATTTACAGTTATAGTCAAAATTGTATACTGATGCTATTTTTAAAATCAAAGAATATCTTGCAAACATAAGAACCCAAAGTAATTCTAAAGAGAACAAAGGCTGTTTCCATTTCTGTTAGAAACTGTTTGTTGTTTCTATCATGTGTTTTAGTGAGCAATGTCTTCTTTCATTCACTTTGTTCTGGTGTGAATTAGATAAGATGATAAATAATCATCTCATGTAAACATCAATATTTTTGAAGAATGAGAATTTGCTGTTACTTTTAAATACAATATTATGATAATCAGAATAAGATTCCGAAGATTGTATATAATAATCAGAACCATAAGGTTGACATTTCATGTCTAGTGTCCTAATTGGAAACATTTACCCTAAACATATTTAAAATGGTGAAAGATAAGTCACTCCAATAATCTTGCTCTAATCTTGACTATGTATTAGTTTACCACTACTATTGTTATTATTATTAAATAATGTTTAAAGAGATCTCTTTAATAAACGATATGTTAAAAGACCAAAAGTAATTCAGTTGAGCAGTACCTCCAACGAACATGAAAATATTAATGATATATACCTTGTAATTTGTAATATATAATGTCTCAAGTAATTCAAAATTATTTTGTGAGCAAACTAAGGCAGCAATTTAAGAGAGAGTCTCATCTATGCATATAAGTGAAATGGCACATTGAAAAAAAATTCACAAAACTAAATAAGAATTTATACATGTACTCATGTAAGCTCAAGTATCAGTCAGAGTAGCATAATAGTTTTAAAAGTTTCTTATAACACTGAGTATAATGAATTCAACACATATTTTTTATCCATTCAAATTTTTTTAACTTATATTTCTTGACGTTCATAATGAAGCAGTATAGACATAAATGTAAAACATGAAAAGTAATTAAAATGGTGTAGCTGAGAAAAACTAATTTATAAACAAGTAGGTTTATTTGCTTGTGGATCTACTTCAGCAATCAGACACCTTTGTTCTGCCCTTCACATTAATAAATGAAACCAATTTGCTTTAATACTTCTTCACTGGTCCTAACGACAAAACCTCCATGTATCTCGCACAATATCAGTCTTGGCTGAAGGGAAACTGTGAACTAAAATAGTGAGATGGATAAGGTCAAGCTGGAGGAGAGTGTCTAGAGTGCAGGAGTACCTGTCTGCTTCAAGCTCAGCTCAGGTCGGTTCTGCCATGAACCTAATGGTAACAAGGACTAACATTCACTCATACTCTCTGGAAAGAGGGTATGGAATGTTAGAATAAACCAGAGGTTAGCTTGTGGAGTAAACTGTCACCAATTCCTAATTAACATGACAACATTTAAAAAATTGCTTTTCGGGGTCCCCCCTGAAAAATGTTAATGAACAATGAGACAATTTTCTGTAAGCATAATACAATAGTTGGTTGTATTCTTAAGACTTAATATAAGGCTTAATATTGCCATATTTTTGTAAAGTTTTGTTTTTTTTTTACACTATGAGCTCTTGGGTAACACAAACATGCTTATCCCACATCAGTTCAAATGATTTATATTTTTTAAAGTGCCTCAGCTGTCCACAAAGATTAGGATGTAAATAGAGCAAGCAAGACAAAATAGAGGACACAGCTTCACAATAAGAGGTTTATTCAGTGTAACACTTATTTTAGTATAAAATCATGTTTAAAAAGATTTTTTATACTTGTTTACTTCTTAGTGATAATCATCATCTTATATTTAAAGAACTAAAAAAAGTACAAAATGTTTGCATTATATACTTGGGTCTTAGAGACCTATTCAATTTATCTATGCAGCTTTTATTAGAATAGAGACTGTAGACTACAATAATAGTCAATGAGGTTTTGTCTTGATTGAATTTTTCAGTGGAACACAAAAGAACCTTGCCATTAAAATAGTCCTTTATTCTCCTGTATGAAGGCGAAAGGTTTTTAAAGTGTTGTGATGTTCAGTAATGAGCCTCTATCTAAATTATCATTGGTGACAAACTCACAAAGCACTTTTCGAGGACACATAGTTATGAAATGCCAGAGCTGCCACTTTCTTTCCTGTAATTATAGGCTAGCTTGCAGCCCTTCAATGATCATTTATAGAACAGCCTCCAGTGGATTACTGAGAACTTGAAAAACACATACATACCTCTGCCACATCTCCCTTCTCCTTTCCTCGCTATTGTTTACCAGTGATATGTAAAATAATGGTGCCTATTCATTTCCCCTACTTAATTATGCCAATCAAAGTACAGAAATAGTGTCAGATATAAATACAAAGCAATAAGACTAAATAAATAGGCTAAGTATTAACATTAAATTATGAATTTATGTATTTATGACTATTTTGTGGCCAAATTATTCTCTTTTATGTTTTTATAACTATCTCAGGTACTACATATTGCTGTTCAAAAATTCTCTATGATTTATAAATCAAGAATGAGATAATACTAAAAAATGAGAGGATTGGTGGATTTTCTCAGTCAGTGCCTAATTGCTGTTTCAAAATGCATATGCAAAGGGACATTTCATTAATCATTTAATCATGTCCCTTGCAGGAAGTTGGAACTAATGTTGCAAATACCCTTTTCATATGAATGCTCCATAATACTATCTTATGCATTTGATATATTGCCTATGTCATAAATTATGGCTGCTTCAAAAGGACCAAGTGGGGTTGTTATCCCTGAAGATGCTTGTTACAAAACCTTTATTAAGTTTCTTTTTTTACTTATTGCTAGTTCTATTTCACAGCTTCATACTATCCAACAATAATACTCTTTCTGATGGCAAAGGTCTGTAAATTACCCATGCAATCACTAACACCATTTCACAGGCCTGTTCTACTTCTACTGGTCTGCTAACAAGGCGATTACACACAAATTACTGAATGCCTATGAAATATTTAAATGCATTCTACTCTACTATGCATTAATAAGAGCAAAGCAAGCTCTGGAATTCTGGTTAGCTCCAGTCCCTAATGTCCCCTAATGAGCCTCTTACCGAGACTGCAGTTCAAACAGAGAGGTGAAGAAAAAATGCAAAGGGTGCCTTCAGAAAGGCAGCACTGAACAAACATTGTGTGAGCCAGTTCTAATTTATGGGTCACTTTATAGGTATATTGATTTTTGTTTTCAAAATGGAATAAATGATGTGGTCGACTGATGTTCTTTCAAAACTGCATTGAATCTGTGTGCTAGGTAGGTAGTATAAACTAGAAAAAAATGTAAATAAGCAGTCGAATTCTTTCTAAAAACAAAAACAATCAAACAAGCATTTCAGGAAGACAAAAGTAGGAAAAATCTTTCGAATTTATTTAATGCACAATTCTCTTTAATGAAGCTTTTAGGGTTATAAATGCATGTGATGATTTCAGTTATATACACTCCAGATTAGTGATTCAATTTTAACCTCTAGATTTTTCAAATTCATTTAAAGTTAAAGCATTTTATAAGTTAAAAAGGGATCAGATTTAAATCCAAGTATGTCAGAGACTGTTTTAACAAAATGTTTCACTTGCATATCACTGGTGTTTGATTTATTTTGCATCAAGCTTTTTATGTTTAAACACTGACAGGAGTTTAAATACAAAATGTTAGCTGTCACTATTCATTTAGCTGATTATGTGAGATGCCTTAGTTTTGAGAGATGGGGGCACTGTCACCAAAAGAAACAACATTCTGACAAGTTCAAAGAATGCCTTCTTGAGGTCATAATTTTGTAGCCATGCTGCCTAGTCAAAGACAAAGAAATAGACAATACACATTAAGTAAGGGCATAATTTCTAGAGTAGTCAGCTGCAGTAAAAAGAAGACAACACATTTCCATTAAATAAACTACTCTGTTTCCACTATGTTTTCTCTTGCTCTTCATACAGTATCAAGCCTTAAAAATGTAGTCTGTAAGAAATTTAACTAATTTATGCTCATCAATGAATTAATGTTTTATATACTAATATTTTTATGGACACTAACCATTCTTTCTTAAAGGAGAGTATTTTCACCTTTGTCTCTCAGACCATGTTTTGTGTCCTGGCATCTGTGCATTCAGGTTCAGCAGCACTTCTCTGCTAACTGGAATGTTATATTGTAAACCTTTGGCTTAAGCTCTAAAAGTCAATCCATCTATTCTTAAGCTGACTTAGTTCTAATGGAATGATAATTAATTTTGCAGACAAACTACTGTAAAGTTTTGTCAGATGTTACTACACTTTGACATTTATAAGACAGTAATGAAGAACTAGTATTAAATGCTTTTAGTGATCTCGTGAGATCCTTAATTAGTGGTCAGAAAAATGGTTAGCTTCTGTCAACACCTACTTCATAGCAAAACCCCCAAATTTTCTGAAACACTTTTTTATCCTGTACTTCCTTCTTCATCTTGTATTTTCTGCTTTTATCTTGCTGTTATAAATAACATTTTCTATCTCAGTCTTAATGTTTTTATGCAATAGAAAATAATACCTCAACTGAATAGTAAAGAATACATAAAAGAATAGTATATATAATACATAAATATATAAAATATATAAATGTATATAATACATAAGAACATATATGTGTTATATATAACAACTGTCCAATGATGGTTTTTCATTTGGTGCTGGGCAAAACAGAAGGATTCTAGAAGTTTGTTTTGGGATAATGTAAAAAAAAAGAATTTGGGACTTGATGCATTTTCTACTGTCCTTTTATTTCAAGCCAATGGATAAGTTATCTGAAAACGAAAGATGATGTCAAAATTTATTTCTAGTGCAGTTTAGAACTAAAATTGCCATAACCATATTTTCTCAAAAGCATTTATAATAAACACTGGGTATGAAATTTGTAGAGACTGGATAAGCAAAAAAAAAAGACAGAACTAAAAACCTTTCATAGTTTTTAAAAAAACTTATCTATAATTTCCCCCAACCTTCAATTTTCTCCATTATTATGAAGGAAAAGCAAAGTCTTCTTTCTAAGAAAATCTGTATAAGTGGTGATGTTTTTTTCTTCATTTCACTACCCACTTGCATGCTAACTTTTCCCCCTGAATAACCAGTTAAATCTTTTAATAAAATATTTTATTTCTCTTTAAATTTTTCATGTTTTAAAGAAGAAAATAATGCCAGTATGGGAAATACTTCTAACTAATATTTAATTCCAGTACAGTATACTTACGTTAGCTCTATTAACAGAATTTATCACAGATCTTTGAGTTAGTGAATCAAAAGCATATCAAAACTAAAAATGGACTTAAAAAAAGGCCTTAAAATCTACTGTCATTAGTTCTGTCATCCCTATAAACTTAATGGGTTGGAAAAATGGTCAGTCTTTGGAACCAAAGTTGATATTTAATTGAAAGGAAATGTTTTTTTAATTATAAATTTTTGAAAAACACTGGCATGAGTATGAAAAAGGACTATGGGAAGCAAAATTAATCTGCTCATTAGTAATAAAAATATAAATATTTGAAATAAACAAAATGTTCCTTTCCATGTTCTATAAATAAGCTCATACTGAAGAAAATATATGTATATTTTTCTAAAGGTTTATTTTGAATTTTGTCAGAAAGAACAATTTGGAGCAATAAAATTCATAGTCAGTGGTCTAGGTCTATGACTTAAATTACCATTCTTAAAAACATAACAGCAATAGTCCTCTAAATGATCTTGATGACAAGGAATAATATATTGATAAAGATTAATGTATTCAAAGGAAGAAATATGAAATTATTTGTTAAAATAATTCATATCCCTATGTTCTATCCTTGTTTTAATAATTTTTTTAGAGAGAAAAACTTCAACAAAGTTATCCAGCATTTTAAATGCTTAGAACAGTATAATCAGTTTCATACCCAATGAAATGGCAGCTCACATCTGTTTTAGTAAAAGACAAGTGCAAATTTTCATGCAAGGCTAGTTACAAAGCACCATAGTGATATATGAAGCAAATTTACTCTTAATTGTTTAGAAATGATAAAAGGTTAAAAAAATCTTTGTGGAAGTTTTACTGTAATTCAGTTATAAAGTTATTATGATGCCAAGTACGTGTGACTTGTTGTTAAGGTGCTTTTGCTCTATACCCTGTAGTCAGTCTTCCATTTGTAAACACATCTTTTTGATGTTCCTGCCAACATCCTGGCAACAAAGCAGTGCAATTTCAAATGAGCTAATTAACTTAATTGTTGATGAAGCATGAAACAGTTCATTCACCCTGTTAGCTGCACCATGACAACATAAGAGTCTCAGCCTGTGAAGTTACTCATCTCCATAAACCTATCTGTAGCTCTCTGTTTAGATCTCTTGTATACCAGAATTGTGCATAGAAAACATATCATGAAAGACAAATATTCTCACTTGCAGAAGAACACCTTAAGTAATTTTTAGAAAATAAAATAATATTTTATAAAAAATTTAAGAATACACAATTGTTTTGGCTTTAAGCTAGAAAAGCTATGTAATCTATTATACAAACATATAGCCATGTATGTTTCTTAATGTTTCTAAGGGCAAAAAGTAACAACGTTAAAGAAATGCAGTTACTTCTTTAGATTTTAGCCACTATTAACTTTCATTTTTTATTATTGTTAAATACATATTAAATACTATTTTTAAAAAGAATATAAAGTATTTAAAATACACCTGCAGAAAGTTTAACTAAATATACATAGTTTATGACCACTCACATAATATTAATTAGAAACTTGAAATGTAAGTGACATCTATTTTTTAAAATATGTCTCCCGATGATTAATGATACATTATTATAAGCTAATATTTTTCATTCATTCAAAATCCTCATCAAATAATTTGTAGAATATTTTAATGCAAAGATGAAGACAGAGCCTGACTTTAGCAATCCACTTGTTGGAACACACAGAAATCTTAAAGTGTGTCTTACGATTGATGTTTACTTTCCTCCTTCATCCTTTACTTACTACAATGTGCCCCAAACTATCATATAATCCACCCTCCCAAACAAAAAACAGTAAAAACCTACTTTAAAAACTGTCCAAAATCTTCACAAATGCTTTCACAACCTGGCCATTTGCAAACTCCATGGCCATAGAGAGTGTGAGAGGCCCCAGTTTCCTCATGTGACGAGCTGTAGCAAGAGAACACGACGTCAGATTCATCTCAAAAAGCCATAATCGTTGCAGGCTGCTAGCGCCTGTCAGGTTACGATCAGTGACAAACAGGTCAAAACAGGTCAATTCAGCTCAGAGCAGTCAGAAAAATTTAATCGTTCTATTGAATAGTTCAACTGCCAAGGCTAGATGATGTTCCAATTAGAGGAGAAATAGAGCCAAAGATGACTGTTAATAAAGGATGAAAAACTAAGAGGACTGTATAATATCATATGCTAATTCTGCCATATGACCTTAATGTAACATTTTACCTCTAAATAAAAAATATATATTCATATGTGGTCAAGTGAAAAAAACCTGTATTTCTAAGAAAATAATAGGACAGTCACCATAACATATTTGAAATGCTCTTTTTAAAGAAGATATGGACCTTTAAGATCATTTAAATTGTTCAATATTTATGTGTAAACCACATATATTTCTAATCAGTAGTTAAGCTGATTAAAACAATTTTACTTGAAACAGTATTCATTATCTGTATTCTATATAATTATTGAAGACTTTTTGCTAAGTGAATATTATATCAGATAAAGAGATTCTAGAGAAGTCAACAAACTTTTGAAATATGCAGTCATCACATTAATCTCAATTAAAACAACATCATGAAAGTATTCAAAGGCATATCATTTTATAAAATGAAAAGCTAACAAGAAAAATTTTGTATGATACTCACATGAAGGTGAGAAACACCACCTAAAGCATTCTGCTTTAACTATACTATAATTAAATATATGTTTCTTTGAAAAATATTTATTTATGGCAAATAATTTGTCGCAGCAATGTAGATATTCATATTGTATAACAGAACACTATTGGTCCACTATATTTACATGTGAAGTTTGAAGTTATATATAAAATGAGCCTGAGTCATTCTGTTGAGAAATTCTACACTCATGTTTCATCTTTCAAAAAGAGATTTTTTTTACTTTTGAACAATATTTTAGTTTATGCACTATATGCAAATTACTTAAAAGGACTTGATGAGATAGCAATATGCCCAAATAAATGAAACTGAAGGACAAGAGTACCAGGTGCTCCTTTTACAAAGGCAGCTAAAAACAGTAAGTTAAAGATGAGCTAACAATATACTTCATATTGATAACTGAGGTCAAATATTTTTTCTTTGAAGTTTTAGTCAGATTAATTCAGAAAATTATCAGTTTATTTTTATGTGTTTACAAATTCCATCATGCCACAAGAATTAAAAAGGCAAGACCTGGTTTATTTTGCCTTATATGTATATCTATCTATCTTCTGATTTCTAAGCATATGTTTGAAACATATATTAAAGGAAATATGTAAGCATCTTTAATTATTTGAAATTCAGTACCTAGTTTTTACTTTGAAAAATGTTCTTATGGCAAACAGGTTAATCATAACATCTTAGTCATAAAATATACAGATACAATCATTCCACATGAACTTAAGAAAAAAACTAATTTCATCAGGCAAACCTCCCAACTATGTCCATCAAACCACTGGTATTTGAACGGTTTTTCGGTAATTAAAAAAATACACACACACACACACACACACACACACACACACACATCTATATATACACAAACACACACTTTATATTTCCTAAAGACTTCTATTTAATGTATGGTTCTACACATTTTGTCCTAAAACAAATTATTATTTTTACTCTTGTCAATGGTTAAAATAAAATTGGCTACAGAAAAAAAATAAAACTCATGGGACTTACCTGTCTCGTCTTGCATTTAAAACTGAAGACTGTCCATTCACTATGGAATGATGAGTTATTGGTGGTGATGCTTTGGAAGTGGTGGAGGAGGTAGTCGAGGAGGAATTGTTAGTAGTGAGGTCTAGCCCTCCGTGTTTAATGCCATTGTCTTCCATACTATGAACTCCAGTCACTTCTTTCCATAACTGCTGAATCTCAGCAGGACTTAAGCCAGCTACAAAATGATATAACAAGGTAATATAACAAGGTAAAGTTCATATAATATGCTTAGTGTTCTTATTAATGGACTGATACCAACAATGAAAGTGACGTTACCAGAAATAATATACAATAAAAATTACTTTTATGCCATCAGCATCATAGGTATTGTCTTGAATAAAATTATTTATTTACTTAAGACTACCAGTCTGGGAATAGTCCTGAAAATAATGGTATTGGGAATAATATCAAGGATTAATAGGAAAAAACTCTGCACATTCCATTTAAAAATTGAACCACTCAACTTTTAAGAGTAGCTTTTACTTATCACTGGCATTAGGCTTTTTTTTTTTTAATCAATAAGGAGTTGAAAGAGCAATAGATATTACAAATAACATCTCAAAAGAAATAAAAAGAAAAAGGTAATTAGAGAAAACACAAATGTCAGGGCAAAATAGTAAACTTTCAACTCAAAAGAAAATGAGATTCAACAATCGCCTTGCTATTTTGTTATTTCTCAGGAAGACAAACTAAATAATTAAGTTTAATTTTGGGATCTTGAATAAACCAATAAGCTTTAACTACATGATCAATTAAGCCGATATCTAAGCCTCTCCATTATTTATGACTAATAGAATAAGTCAGCTATTCATTTTAAATAATTTCCTGGCTCTGATTAAAACAATTTACCTGATTTATAAAACAATAAAAATAGAAGAGCTAGTAATAATCCTTTACTTTTTAACTATAATTTTGAAATAAAGTATTGAGAGAGTATTGATTATGGTATTTACTTATAAAATAGTACTCATGTGTGAAGTACTATGTCTTTGTATATTCTTTATATACCTATGCTTTTTAATTCTCAGTACAAAATAATGGAGTTGGTGTTTTTAGTTTAATCAATGTATGGATAAGGAAACAAAGGGAGATAGAGGTTAATAAAACCTTGTCCAAGGCCAAATCCAGGTAGTCTGACTTGACTATCTTTCTTCTTAAAATACTATATTAAGAACATATTTAAAGAATTGAATAAAGATATATATGGAAAAATGAATCTGTGATTATCACTGCTATCATTTATTAAGCATTTACTATATTCTGGTGCTATACTAAGTGCTTTCCATTTATAATCTCAGTTAATCTCACTTGAGGTTAGATATCATATTTTACAAGGAGCTCAGAAATATTAAATATATTGTCCCAAATCACTCAATTTATGACTAGTGGACAGAATTCAAATTCTATTCCATGTGATTACAAAATCTATGTTCTTTATGACCTGTGCATCAAAAGCATCTAATATAAACATGGAGTGTTACTCGAATTACTCCACCCAACCCAACATACATCTGCTGTAGTGATATTGATGAGTCAAGATGTGTGGTAGGGCGGGTTGGAATAGGAAGGGGAGACAGGGGCAAGATGACAGAATAGGATCGCGAACAGAGTGAACCTTATCACCCTCATCCCGGCAAAGAGAAAAAACCCTGATAGAGACACAGTAGTAAGTTGCCAATAGGAACAGAAGAATGATCACTATTCCAAACATAACTTCTGGTCAAATTATTCATCACAGTGGTAATCTTAAATTGCTATTCCTATCACAATTTCATACAGGTAGTTTTACTGAAAGCTATTATTTCAGTGATTCTGGCTTCTCAAGATTTTAAGACCAAGTTAGAGACTAAAGAAAAGACAAGATAATTCCAGTTTCCAAACTTATTAGAAAATATTTTTTCTCTCAAATAGAGAGTGATTTTATAAAGAAAGGTATTTTCTCTGTCACATAGGAAACAATTTTTTTACAAAAATCATTAGTTATTGCTTTAACCCAGAACTCTGAAAATTTTCTGATGGTAACTTTTATAGTCTGTCTATGTTAGGTGTCCTAACAGCAAAACTCCATCAGCAAATCCTTTTTCACAATAGCCTCTGCACGTCTTCATCATCAGAACTCTCACCATCTCACCTACTGCTTCTCTGCTCTATTAGTTACTCTTGCCTGAACCACAGGGATAGCCTTCCAACTATCTTCCTGCTATTTCCTTGCTTTGATATATGAATTTACTCTTCATATAGCAGCCAAAAATTATCTCTATACATGTAAATTCGGCCTTATCACTTCCCAGGCAAAATCTCCAAAGGCTTTCTAGAGCACGTAGAAGAAAACAAAATAAGAAAAAAACAGGCCGGGCTCGGAAGCTCAGCCTGTAATCCCAGCACTTTGGGAGGCCGAGGTGAGAGGATTGCCTGAGCCCACGGGTTCAAGACCCACCCGGGGAACTTGGGGAGACCTCATCTCTACAATAAATCAAAAATTAGCCGGGCGTGGTTGCGTGTGCCTGTAGTTCTAGCTACTTGGAAGGCTGAGGTGGAAGTATCACCGGAGCCCAGCAGGTCGAGGCTGCGGGAGCGTGCCACTGCACTCCAGTCTGAGCAACAGAGTGAGACTCCAACTCTCAAAAAAAAAAAAAAAAGAAAAAACAAACACAAACCATAAAAATCACTTACTATGGTCTGTGCAGAGCTGCATTTATTATCAGGCTCTTCTCTGTCTCTCTGACCTCATCTATCACTCTCACTTCGCATTTCATTCTGTTACACTAGCCTTCTGCTCCTTCTCAAAGACATCAAACATTTGTTCCTTTTCCAACTTTTGCTCTGACTGTACCCACAATCTAGGCTACTCTTGTTACAGGTTCCCCCAGCTTCCTCCCTCTCTTCACTTAGGGAGGTTGAAAGGTAGCCTCCCCTGAGAAATCTTTGGCTACACCATCAACCACTGCCCCGCCCCACTCTGCTTTCTAGCATTTCTAAACTCCTCAACTATTTTTCTTTAGGGCATTTATCACTTTTTGAAACCTCTCTCTCTCTCTCCCCATCCTCTGTCTCTCTGTCTGTCTGTCTGTCTATCTATCTATCTTTCTACCTATCATCTATCTTCTATCTATCTACCAGTTGAATCTATCATCTATGTCTTATTATCATTAGTGTCCTTGCACTACAATTTAAGTTTTATAAGAGTAGAGATTTCTTGTTGTACTGTACATCCTCATCGCCTTGAACAGCGCCTGGTATGTGCTCAAAAAATATTGTTGATTTCATTCATTATAACAGAGTCATGTATTTCTCAAAGACGTGTTGATTCTCTTGTGGAAGTTTCGTGACTCTTAAAGGGTATACAGTTTGCAAACACCGCTACCATATAAAACCAATGGTACTAGTTGCTTCTAACACAGAGTGACTAATAATATTTTATATCTTAGCTCAAGGCATAGCTTTTAATGATTTTATCAATAATTCAATTTTTGTATTTTACTAATAATTTAGTTAATGTAAGTATCCACTTATCTTCTAAAAGTAGTTTTCAAGAAATGAAAATTGGTGATATGACCATTCTATTGCAGTGATAAGGTAACAAATGCTAGACAGTAGGCTCTCAATAAAGAGTTGATGAATGAATAACCTGTTCAAATAATCCAAATAATGTTTCTTAACTAAAAACAGGAGGAAATGGTTTTTAAAATTACAGATAAGGAAGAAAAGAGGCAAAAAAGAGATTCCTCCTAGGAGCAGTGGTTCCCACAAGTCTCTGTATATTAGAATCACCTAATATATTAAAACCTCTAAAGCCTGACCACAGCCAAGACCAATGTAACCATCATTATGGAGGTTGAACATAGGCATTGCTTTTGAAACTCCACAGGTGATTCTAATGCACAGATAATTTTGGAGAGAAAATTTTAAGAAGAAAACTATTACTTTGCTCTTGGGACAAAATTTTCACATCTAGGAATTGCTCAGCTCTTTTCTATGGACATACAACTATTTTTAAGTGTAAAACAACTAGCCAATCAATTTTGTACAATTTTGAAAATTTTAAGAGCTTTGAAGTCTTGATGGTTTGCAAGAATTGAGTTAGGTTATTTTTCAGGTAGCAATATAACAAGTTGAGATTTTCTTTTTAAAAATTTATTTGTAACTATTTTAAAGATGTGGGGTACAATTCAGGATTAAGTAGATAAGTGGTCATCATACAGGCAAAGTCTGGGCCTCCCTTTGGACCCCACTTTGCCTGGTTTGAGATCAGGTATCCTTACTGATGTTATTTGCCCCTCTTCCCCAAATTCAGTGTTTTCTAAACAGAGTCCCATGGAACAGTAGTCTTCTAAATGCTATTAACCTAGTGATATGTGGTCTCTATCTCGGAGATTCATTATTCATGTAAAACAGTTCTGAGATGTCTAGTAACAAATAAAACTTAATTCTCTTTTTTAACTCAATGTTTTCCAAATATGTTTGAAGAGGAAAACCCCAAAAAAGAAGAAGAAAACTACCCAAAAAAACTCTATTTACAATTACACTAATGTACATACGTTTTAAATACCAGGCATATATAGTTTAGATTCACCAACTAATCCCTAGCCCATACCCCTCCTTTAAACTATAGTCCCCCCATTTGATATTTCCATGTACCCTTGACAGATTTCTCAAACCTCACATGTTCATGTTCAAAACTAAGTTCCTATTTATACAGTCTCTCCCTCAACCCCAACTCACTCCCCTCTTGTAGTTTTCTTCATCTCTATTTTATTTAGCAGATACTTATATGGTTCTTTTGATATGCCAGACACTAAGTGCTTCACACACTATAACTAATCTAATACCTCAAATCATTATCATTGTTATTCTCATCCTCATCTTAGAGAAGGGGACACTAAGGTACAGAAAAGTTAAGTGTCTTGCTCCAGAGCGAATCAGTTGCAGTTCGCCGACATTATCAGGTCGTGATTCACATTTCTCCCTCTCAGAACTCCATCCCAGGGCCATCCTGACTAAAAGTTCAACTCCTCCCACTTCCTGTTGTTGCTTTAGTTTTTCCTATCCTTGCCTTTATTTTTCTCCTTGGCACTCACCACTACACATTTTAGTTATGTACTGCATGTCTCATACATTAAAATGTATGTTTTATGATGGCAGCAATTTTTGTCTGCTTTCTTCACTGCTATATCC